CGAGGAGGCCCGGGCACGGCGTGGCCCCTCGCGTCCCCAGACCGGGGTGCAGGGTCAGGCAGCCTGTCGCCGGCAGCTCAGTTTTGAAACGTATTTTCTTCGCCTCGTCAGAGCTCTCAAGACACCAGTTGCCATAGAAACGGCTGGTGAAAATCCCGCAGCCGCCCTAATTATAGTTCCAGAGCCGGGGGACGGGGGCAGGGCCGAGATGGGGGGCCAGGCACCCGAGCGCTGCCCTGGCCCCAGGCTTCTTCACTGTCCAGTGTCACCTGGTGGAGAGCTCGGGGCGGATGTGACCCAGTGCGGTGACGGAACGTGTTCGTGGGGCGCGGCAGGCGCACACCTGCCGGCTCCGACTCCAGTTATACCCGGGCTGGACGGGACCCGGGGACCCCACAGGACACCATGTGCAGGGCGTGGCTGGAGCCGCCCCCGGGGCCTTTCCTGTCCACCCCGCTTGTCTTTGTGACCTGTTCCAGGGCGTGTCCGCCACTGAGGTCAGTGCAACGAGAGGGTGGACACGCAGCCCACCGGGCGCGGAGCCGCCCGCCCCCGGCACGGTCACACGCGTTCCCCGGGACATCCTCATTTTACACTGGCTGTCGCTTCAGGTCAGAAACAGGACCGACTTCCCGAGCGGAAACCCCAATGCTGAAATGTGACTTGTTCGCTGACGGCCCAGGTGGCCCTGGCCAGTGACGGGGACACCCGTAGTCACCTGGGACGTGGGCGGGGAAGCTGGGTGGTGCGTCCTGCTGTGTCCTGCACTCAGGGCCCAGAGTTAGAACATGTTTGGATCTCAGGGTTGTCACTGAGGGGAGTGGACGAGGGTCTCGAGGTTGTCACTACTGGGACGAGGGTCTCAGGGTTGTCACTGCTGGGACGAGGGTGTTCCAAGGCAGGCGCTCAGCGATGGACAGGTGAGGCTGCAGTAGCCCCCGGTCCAGTCCTGAGACACGCCTGGCACACAGAGGGGACATTCCGCACAACGCCTGACCCATGGTCACCAAAGTGTCATGGCCCAGAGGAGCCTGAGCTGGCGCGACCACTAGACAGGGCGGGTCCTGGATGGCCAGCCGGTCAGGAAGAGGACGTCGGGGAAACCGAGGCCACGGCGTCGTGTTCAGCTTCGGTGACAGGGCGTTGGCATCGGCGACAGGGTGGCAGGGACACTGGGCGGGGCCTGGCGAGCTGTGCGTTCGTCCCCATCTCCGCAGGGGACTCGGTCCAAGGCCCCCGTGACGCCCAGTGATGCGCGTATTCTGCCCTGAGCCTGCAAACCCGAGACAGGGGAGTGGACGGGCCGGGCCCAGCGGGAGACGGTGCCTGGCGGCGAAGTGGGGACAGTCTGCTGCGCCAGGTCCCGGGCTCTGGTCCCTGTCTCAGGCGTCCCTTGCTGAGGTCCTCGCGGGGGCTCCGTGCTCCCTGGGAAACACGCGCCGTCCCTCGGACACGGACACGGCCTCCCTCCGCGTCCCCACGATGTCGCGCCCGCCCCCCCCCACACTCGTGCTCCCTGGGAAACACGCGCCGTCCCTCGGACACGGACACGGCCTCCCTCCGCGTCCCCACGACGTTGACGCCCCCCTCACGCGCTCGGGTCACGCCCTGTGGCCGGAACTTCTGCAGCGTGAGATGTGACAGCAAAGTGAGTTCGGGTGTCCTTTCCTTCCCCGCGGTTCACGCGCGCAAGAGCCCCCTCCCCGTGCCCCGCAGCGACCCCAGCATCGAGGTCGCCTTTCCTCAGGAAATCGAGAACGGTCTCGTTTTCGCTTAAAGGAAGCACTCGGTGGCTTCTCTCTGCCGTCTCCCTGCACCGTGGCCCTGAGTAGGGACGAGGGTGACGCGGACACCAGCCCTGGGATCCTGTGACGGTTGATCTGACCGCTGGGACTTCCAGCCTCCGGTAGCAAAATGTAGATGATAATCTTAGTAAAAATTCTAAATTTTATCACCTTCGATTACTAAGATTCTCTACATGTCCCTCTAAAATTAGTTGTCAGTTTGCTTTTCACGTTTAAGAGCTAAATTTCAGAGGGGACAGATTTGCTGATGGAGCGAGGCCGGTGTCTCCATCAGCTGGGGCCGACGTGACAATACCCCAGACCCAGGGGTGAAGTGACAGACGTGTCCCTCTCCGTCCTGGAGGCTGGAGTCTGGGGTCAAAGCGCCGGCAAGGTGGGGCGCTGGGGGCCACTTCTGACTTGCAGGTGGCTGCTGTCCGCCATGTCCTCACCTGCCTGTGGTGTCCTCATCCAGTGTCCACACCCGCGTGTCCTCATCTGGTCCAGAGCGAGTATGGACCATCTCTCCTCCTCCCGCCCGGGCGCTAGCCCCGTCATGGGGCCCTGTCGCCGGGTACGGCCACGCGGGGGTCAGAGCTGCCGTGCGTGGCCCGGGGCACTCAGCCCTGACAGCAAGGACACAGGTTTTCTCACTGTGGTACCGGCTTCTGGCGGGAGGGGGGGCGGGCGTTGGTCCTGGGGCCCCATCTGACCAGCTCAGCTCCCTCTGTGTCCCCCGGTCTGTCTCTGTCACTCCACGCCTTCCCCCTCATTCTTCGGGTCTGGCCGGGGGGTGTAATTGCCACACGAGGGGACAGTCTGTCCTGTGGACGTCAGCAGGGACCCGCCGGGGCCAGGCATCTTCCAGGCGAAGCCAGAGGATGCAGCGTCACCTGCGCAGAGGCCCTGGGGTCGCCGGGACCCCTGAGAGCCGAGGGGCAGATGGACCGAGGCGTGAGCTCGGCCTCCAGCGGGGCCTCCACCCGCTGGCCACGGGCTCCCACTCGGAGGGCCGCAGACCT